ATTATATATCTTTTGAAATTAAGTACTTTAAATATTATATTAAATTTTATTAAATTTATATAAAAGATTATTGTATTTACAAATAAAAGAAAAAAATAAGCTATATTATCTATTTATCACTAATTTCTTCTTTATCAGAATTATTATCGCTAATATTAATATTTAAATTATCTAATAAATTAGATATATGACAAGTTTTAAAAGAATTTATAATTATTTCATCAAAAATTTGTTCTATAATTATTTTACCTATCTGTATATATTACCAAGCTTAATATATTGAAAATTACTTTTAGTAATTTAATTAACATCACTATTAGCCATTCATAATTATTATTCTTTTTTTAAAGATTTATTAATGGCTATATCAAGAGGTTAATATATACTGATTAAGTTATTTAAAATAACTATTAAATTATAAATTATAGCTATTTACTTTAAACTTTTCTTAACTGAATCTTTTATATGATCTTTAAAAGAATTATATATTTTTAATTAATGTTTTGTATAAATTTAAATTAATCTGAATTTAATTTAAATCTGATAAATCAGATTTAAATCAAATTCAGATTTAGATTCAAATTGGATTTGATCCATCAGATTCAGATTCAGATCTACTTCTTTTAGAACTGAAAAGTTTTTTTTATGCTAAAAAATTCCTTATATTAAAAAAGAACGAATTTTTAAATCTTTTTAAAGCTAAAAAGATTCTTTTTATTAAAAAGAAATAAACTTTAGACCTTTTTTAAAACTAAAAAATTCCTTTTATTGAAAAGAAATGAATTTTTAAACTTCTTTTATAATTGAAAAGGTTTCTTTCATTGAAAAGAAATAAATTTTCAGATTCTTTTATAACTGAAATAATTTTTTATTGAAAATAAATATTTTCAGATTTCTTTTAGAACTGAAAAATAGTTTTTTAATAAAACTTTTTAGATTCAAATCAGATCAGATTTGGATTTAAACTAATTTATCAGATTTAGATTTGAGATTTAATCTATCAGATTCTGATCAAATCTGAATTTTAACGAATTTATCAATTCAGATCAAATTTAAATCTTGAAAAATAAAAATCAGATCAAATCAGATTTAGATAAAATCTGATCTGATCTGATTTTGCAGAACATTACAATTAATATTGATATTTCAGATCTATTATTATTCTTATTATCAAGATAATCAATATATTATAACAGTTATCTTAAAACTAAAATATATCAAAAGAAATATATTGTAAATATATAAATTGAAAAGTATTTTATATTATCTATTATATAAAAAAGTAATTTTATTTTAACAAAATTTTTAAAATAAAAAATTTTTTTAAATTTACAAATTTCTTACCTATATAGTATATAGAGTGAGTACTAGAAAAAAAAAGATCAAATTACCAAAAAATTGTTTTTTTAAATAATGAGAGTTCTGGATCAGATAAAATAATCAAAATTAATTTTATTTAAAAACAATTTTTTAAAAAAATTTTGATTTGGTTCCTTCTCTTAGCATTTACTCTATATGTTAAAATAATAATAAAATGAGTTTTTTATTATTTATTATATAAATATAAATTATTTTCTCACTTTTTTGATTAATACTAAAGTTTCTAGCTATATTAAAATAGATTAAAGTCTTATTCATATTAAAAATATTATATAATTCAAAGAATTTTTTAAGTTTAAGATGGATAATAAATTGATAAAACTTTTTAAATTTTCTTTAGTTTGTGCAGAAAGTTTTTATAAAACTTTTATATATCTCTTCTATACCTTTCATAAATAAAGATATCTAAGGATTAGATGTTTTAAAAGTTTCTGATACCATTACTATTATTAGTATTAATATTGTTAGTATTGCTATTAATATCAGTATTATTATAAAATATTGATAGGATATTGATAGAATATAGATAAGACATAAATAGGATAGATGAGATATTTAAGATATAGTGTAGGATATATTAAAATATATAGCTGAGATATATAGCTAAGACAATAAATTTCTGATATATTAAAAATATATATCACTAGTTACTGATATTATTAATATTATATTATATATTTCTAAAATTCTAGTATTTAACTTTATAATTATATAAGTTACTGTTAACATTATTTTTTTTATTCTATAATCTAATTATATAATCATTTTTCAGATTGAAGATAAAAAGATTTTTAGCTAAAACTAATTCTTTTACTATTTTTATCTATTTTTTAACTATATTAATATTAAGTTCAAAATGTTTTACAGCTTTATTTCTTTTTATTTATTTTGCATAAGTAATAACCTCTTTTTTTATTTAATAAATATAGACTACATTTATATTTTACTATTATTATTTATACATATTTATATACAATAAGTACAAAATGTGTATTATATTCAAATATGTAATACACATAATTTATTATTAAGAATTACTATTAAGTTTCATAAGATTATTAAATAATCTAAAAATTTTAAGAAAAATCTCTAAAAAAAAAACACACTTATAATAAAAAGGTGTTTATTTTCAAGAATATATAGTATTTATTATAATGATAATATTAGATTAATCAGAAAAGTTCTGATAATCATATAATGATAAATTAAAAAAATTATTATATTTTTTTAATCTTTTATAGAATATTATAAAAGATATAGGTGTGAGTTTTTTTTATTAGAATTGGTAGAATTATTATTTATTATATTTTTAATGAATTAATTCTATAGAATAATAAAGAATTAAAATAAAAAAAATGAATAATAAGGATTTTTAACCTATTTTTAATGTTCAAATATTATTTTATATATTCTTATTCTTCTTTTTTTATTACAAACACTTGAATATCAAATAATTTTTTCAAGTTCTTTTATTTTTTAAATCATAAATAATAATAAAGAAACTAACAATAATCTTAATGTAAATAAAATAAATTCTAGAAATTTTATATTCAATAAATAAGTAAAGATGACTTTCTTTGGATTTTAAAAATTAACTAATAAGTTAATTTTTTTTTTTATAGACTTTTTTAAAAATATTTACTAATATTCTTTTTCTTCTCTTTTTTAAAACTAATACTTCTTTAGGTTTTGAGAACTAATTGATTAATTGATTTCTTTTTTTTAGTATAAGTAGATTTTTTAAGAACATTTACTAATATTTATTTTTTTTCTTTTTTAAATTGGTCTTTAAATTTTAGGAATTAAATGATAAGTTATTTTCTTCTTTTTAATATAGATAAGCTTCTCTAAGAATATTTACTACAGTTAAACCTTTATACAATCACATTCTATACAATCACACCTCTTTATAAACACCTATTTTTGTGAAACAGATTTTAACATTATCAAATTACCTTCATATCAACTATAATTACTATCACACAAAAATTTTTAACATACATATTACCTTTATTAGTAATTAAACCTCTAATAATTACATAATTTTTATTGGTGTATTAAATTATCTATTTTAATAAGATACGTGTAATGCATAATAAAGTGTTTTTAAATTTTAACCTAAAAGAAAAAAAAAATCCATTCTTCTGATTCTTTTTTGAACATTATAATATAGTTTATTTGAAATAGAAATATTTTAGGATTTTACAATTATCATTTTAAATTACCATTCAACGTAAAATAAATAGTATTTGGCTTGTCAAATATTTTTCTTAATACTTTTTAAATTTTAAAGTAAGTTATTAAAGAAATAAGAAATATGCTTTATTTAACTTTCTAGTTATACTAATTTGCTATAAATGATTTTTTAAAGATATGTAGTTTCTTTTCTTAGATGGATAGATCTATCATAACACGTTAAATTCATATTAGATCATCAATCACGTCAATCACACAACACGAAAAAAAAATTCTCTTTCTTAATGCCTCCTTTTAGAATCAAAAAAATAAAACAGTACCGCTCAGCTATAAGTGATGAAATAAAACATCAAATATGTGAGTGATCTAAAGCAAATGAAAGCAAGCAGCACTTGGATATTGCAAACTACTTTAATAAGATACACTCTAATTTAAAGATTGATAAAAGCATGATTTCAAAGATTCTGTTATAAAGTGATAGATGAAAAGAAGTAAATGCTGAAGATTCCTAAACATTCAGACACAAAGAGGTTAAGTTTCCACCTCTTGAGTATGCAATGAGTCTATGGGTAGAAAATGCAACAGCCAGTAGTGTAATATTAACAGATTTGTTAATAAAAGAAAAGGCAAAAATATTCACTGAAGTTCTCAATATTCAAGAAGAAATTTTATCTTTTTCTAATAGATAGTTACATAAGTTTAAAAAGCGTAATAACATTCGTAGATACCATATACATGGAGAGTCAGGAAGTACGCCTTTAGCATCTCTTTTAGAGGAGTGTATAAAGTTACAATCAATTTTAGATGAATATATTCTTGACCGCATTTATAACATTGACGAAACGGTAAGTTTTCTAGTTTTCTTATAAAAAAAAATGCTATGAGATGGACGTTAAAATATCAATTGAAATAGCTCGCTATTCTAATTTACTATTACTGCCAATCTGATTTGAGATTGTGATTTATACTACTTGAGAGGCTAATTCAGAATATTCAATAGGTAATTTAGTCTAATTAAATACATTGTTATATAATTAAAAATAAGGATATTAATAAAATTTATTCTTTTAATATAGGGTCTTTTTTATCAAATGCCTTCAAGTCAGACACTTTTAACAAAGCCAGTTCCTAGCTGAAAGAAGGACAAAATACGAATTACAATCCTCCTTGGCATTAATGCAATAAGAACTGATAAGTTGAAGCCATAAGTGATTGGCAATTCAAAGTGTCTGAGACCTCTTTTTAGGATTAATTTAGAACATTTTCCTGTCTTTTATTGAAGCAATCCTAAAGCATGAATGAATTCGTCATTATTTGAAGAGGTTCTTCGTGAAATTGATAATCATTTCAAGGTGCAAAATAAAAAAATCTTGCTTTTGGTTGATAATGTTCTATCGCATTTTAATCCACATTACTCATTAGTTATGAAGGTTAATCAAGATGATTGTAATGATAATAATAATGAATTATCTACATTTGGTAAGTTTTTTTTTCTTTTTTTTTAAATTTGATTAGAACATTTTGTAGTTTTATTCTACTTCTTCTTACTTCTTTTCAACTCTTCCTTCTCCTTCAATTCATCTTTCCGTTCTTCCCATTTCTTTTTCTGATTTTTATCTTTTCATTCTTTATTATCTAATTTATTTTCTAACTCTTTCAACTTCTCCTTTTTCTGCTTTTCTTAATTTCTTAAACTTTCTCTTTGCATCATATTCTTTTTTTTAATATGCTAATTAAATATAACTTTTATAGGAAATCAAGCTTCAAGAGATCGTGGTAGTCATAATGGTAGATCAAGAGGTTGTAACCGTCATGACAGATCAGTTCGTGGTGAATCAAGTCATGGTGGATCAGGTCATGGCCATCATGGTAGATCGGAAGGACATCAATCTGACATTTCTCAGCTTCAACTAACTCATGTCAAAGTTGTCTTCTTACTTTCTAATATAATAAGCCATCTTTAACCGCTCAATGCCAGAGTCATTGCAAGTTTTAAAAACCACTTTAAGAGAAAGTATTGCCGTCATATGCTAGATTTATTTGAAGATGGGAAAGATATAAATAGTGAAAAGATTAATATAAAAGAAGCGATTAACTATGTTGCAAAAGTATAGGGTTGTGTGACTGAAGAAACAGTATTGAACTATTGAAAAAAAACTGGAATTTTGCCTTCCTGCTGCTTCATTAGTCAATGCATTAACCAATTTTTTTCATGAGTTAGAGGAAATCCCAACTGAAGATATTTTAAGTGAAGATGATATTATAAGACTAATCCAAGAGGAAACATGTGATTAGAATAATGACTCTGAAGAAGAAGATATTTTAGTATTTTTCAGTGATGCTCTTAAATCTTTAAAGATTTGGATTTCCTTTTTTGAACAGCAGTACACTGATAAATTTTGTGTAAAGGATTTAAATCTTTTTAAAAGATATTTTAAGATAATTAAATGGCTTGAGCAACAATCCCAAAAGTAAGCATCAATTACAGATTTTTTTGGTAATTAATTAGTTGTTAATAGCATTTATAGCATTTATAGCATTTATATAACTTTGAATAATATAATTACATTTAACATTTAATATCATCTAATAAATAAATAATTTTAAAATATACAATAAAATTTATTATTGATTTAATCTTTATTAACTTAAAAATGAAAATAGTCTCTATATAATCACCTTACATGACTTTTAATATTGTGGTGATTAAAGATGGCGCCTCAATTAGTTGCAACAGGTGACAAATAAGCATCACAATGTTGCAATAAATTGCAACATTATTAAAATTTAAGTTGCAACAGGTGACAAATAAGTGTCACAATGTTGCAACGCCATCTTTAGTGATGATTATATAGAAGTTACCTTTTTACAAGTCATACTTCTATATAATCACCAATTTTAGTGAAACCGATTAGGTGATTATATGGAGGTCCGACTGTATATTTTTTTTTTTTCTTTTTTAGAACTGATTCTTTTTTAAATTTTAAAAATCAACCAGTAAGTTTCTTTTCTTTAAATAAATAGGTTTCTTTGAAAATATTTATTAATGTACATTTTCTTTTTATTTTTAAGATTATCTTTTCTTTAGATCTTAAAATCTAACTGGTAAATTGATTTTTTTATATTAATGTAAATAAATTTTTGAGAATATTTACTAACATTTTTTATTCTCTTTTATAAAATTAGCTTTTCTTTACAGTAACATTTATTTTTCAAAATCTTATTATTTCAAAATAATTTGTTACAAATAAATTTATTAAAAAAGTGTTATTTTATATATATGTGTCTATAAAATTTTTTTTATACATCATTATAACTAATAAATTTAATATAACAAAATTTTTGATATAAAAAGTTTATATTACAATCAATTCACTATATATTCATCTTTTATATAATTACTCCTTTCTTATAAGTAGTATTGAAATTGAACTCATTTTAATTGATGAATTAGATGATTTTGAATTATTAGATAATTGGATATAGTCCAATTATATCTAATTATCTAATTGCTCAATTGAATATTTGTTAGAATTTTATTATATCTAATTATTCAATTAATTAATTAAACTTATAATTAGACTTGATCCAATTAAGGGTTCAATCAATTTTATTTTATTAAATTAAATTCAAAATATCATTATCAGCATCCAGTTATTTAAAAATCTTTATTATATCAAAAATAAAATTTACATTTTAGGTTTTTATAAATTTTTAATATACATTTTAATTGATTAAAAAAGTAGTTAGCAATTAAATTAAGTTTAATTATCCAATTGTTTATTTAAACTATTTGAACTATATACAATTGTCTAATTATCTAATTAATCTAATTGATTCAATATTCAATTATTAATACTGCTTATAAGTATATTTTATTAGACCAAAGTTAATAATGAATTTATTAAAATCCTTTTCTATAGTTATATTATATAACTTTTTTATAATTATACAAATTTTTTTAGTTCTGGGAAGTGTAACTATATAGAAAGTCAACTGTATACCAAAAATTTATTGTAAATTTATTATATAAAAATTTATTATATTAAGAATTGATTATATAATAAAAATTATATTATAAAATAATATTATTTAACTTTTAATATTATTTATTATCTTTAATAAGTATATAAAATATATAAAAAATTATTTGTAAAATATATATTAAATTATTATTTTTTTATTAAAGAATTTAGTTTTTAATAAAAAAATTTTTTTTTTATGATATAATATATAAAATTATATTTTAAATAATATGAACAAATAATAGGAATGAAAATTTAATAACTTTAAATATAAATTAATATTACTAAATATATTTATATAGTGCAAAGTCTCTATAATAAGAACTTAAAAAAATATTAATAAAATTTAATCTACCAATTGGATTTTAATCAAATAAAAAAATTGATTTATATTTATAAAAATGAATTAATTTATAAAAAAAAGTTTTTTTTCAATTTTATAAATTATGTAAGCATTATGTAATATATATATTAAAAATTATATGAAATAATTTATTTTATTTTATTTTATTATTCATTATAAATTTTATCAGATATATAACAATAAAATTTATATCTTTTAGCTGCAAATTCTGTCATTTTTTTAGCAATACCTTTTCTATAAATATTTATATATTATCATAATTTTTGTGCATATTTTTTGAATTGTAATTAAAGAAACTGAATTTAATGCTTTAGAAATAATTCAACTTATGTATAATTATAATATTCTATATATTTCTTTTGCTATATCCTAATGCATTTTTATATAATTCAATTTACAATAATATTTAAATTAAAATATATAAATAATAAAAGAATCGTTCTTATAAATTTGTCATCACATATTTTTTTCAATTTCAGTTTTTATAATTAATTTTGGATAAATTTAACCTGATATAACTTTATCAATATTGAAGATATTAAAATTCTAATTCAAGATTCTTAAAGTACAGTTTATTTATTTATTTTATAGATTAAATTTTCAATTTTATATATAATAAATTTTTTTTTGCATTTTAAATTTGTCCTATTTTTACTATAGCAAAGTTCCTATTATAGAGGTTTTGCATTATAATATATTTTATAATTTTTTTTAAAGTTTAAAAGATTTAATAAAATTTAACTAATTTTATAAAAAATCAATAATTTTATTATATAAATAAATCATGTTTAGTATAATGTTATACTTGTTATAAATTCTAATATAATTTGTAAAGCAAAATATATTAAATTAATAATAAATCTTAACATACATATTTTTTAACAGTTAGATTTATCAGATAATTAGATAAAACTATTCTTATTAAAACAAATAAAACCTCCTTCCGATTCTTTTTTAATATTGCAATTTGATAATTAATCCTCCTAATAATTTACCAAAAAAGTTAATTTGAACAATAAGCCTACCTGCTCCTTTCTTTTCAACAGTTATCGTCTGATAATTAAATTATAATTAATTAATTAATTTTTATTAAAAAATTTACATATAGACAATCTTAGAATAAAAATCAAAGTAATCTTTATCAATCAGGATTTTTTCTAACTTAACTTCCTAATAACTAATCACAAACTATTAACATTATAAATATTTCTTTCTAAAAAAAAAGTTCGCAGTTTGGGTCCAAAAATAAAAATTTTATAAACACAAGATAAGTGAATAAAAAAATGAACTATAATTTTTAATATATATATATATATATGCGTATATATATATACATACTTTGTCCTTTTCAATCTATATAATCAAACAATAATAGATTAAACAGTTATTTTGTTTTTGTATCTATATCTATTCTTTCCTCAAAGCCTCTTCAGACTACGCTTCTTATCAGCTTGTTTTTTATCTATTTTCTTATCACCAGCTCTTTTCTTTGGTGTCACAGTAGGATTATTTGACGATAATTGATTATCATTCGAATTCATAGAAGAATTCGAGTTCTTTTTAAGGTGATTATGATTATTAGCGCCACCACCATTCATCGCATTAAAAGATTTCGATTCGTTCATTGAATTTGATACAGTAAGCGGAGTAATTAAAGCTGGAGTAGCGGAAGAATTGGTTGTAGAATTATTAGTCGTCATTGTAGTAGTTGCTGTATTTGTTGATGTAGTAGTAATTTGCGGAGAAGCAGATTTCGAAGAAACGAATTTTTTTGGAGATGATGTTGAAGTTGTATTATTAGAAGGAGTAGTCGTAGTCGTAGTCGTAGTCATAGTAGTCGTAGTCGTAGTCGGCGTTGTTGATGAGCTATTATTAATATTAATTGAAGAAAAGTCCACTGCCTTATTTTGGGCATGTACTTTTGTCATCATGCGAGCATATTTTGCGTAATCTTCATAATTTTCTAAAAGAAGCTTGCCCGCTTCTTCATTAAGTGCTGATTCTGGGTTAGGAACGATCAAAAGACATTTGACAGTCTATCATCATCATCATCATCATTTTTGAAGTAAACATTTATTAAAATGGTACATCAATTTAAAGAAGCAAAGGCATATAGGATTATAACTAACAATGTTTACCAGCAAGATACGTTCGATTCCTGAATCTTTGTTCCAATCTTTTTTTAGGGTATTAACACAAACCTCTCCACATTTTGATACATTAGGATGAAATATTTTTGTAATGAAATAACCTAATAATTTACGAAAATTAAATGAATGCGTGTTAATCAACGAATAAATTAAATAATAAAAATAAAACCTACATTTTGGTGGTGCTGCAGGGAAATCCGCGCCCAATGCCAACTTTACTTTAAAATGTCCCCCTTCATACGGTGTACTCTCTAAAATTATCATTGTTATTAAGAAAAATTAAGAATACTACCCAGATGAAAAAAACATGTGTAAATCCTCAACCACAGTCTAAATCCTATAAAGTTATTTAAATCCCAATGTTTGTCCGCTCTATTTTTTATTTTATTAAAACCGAGTTTTTGAAGTAAAATAATTACCAGGCCCCAAGATCCAAGCTTGAACGTCACAGACGTCTAATTCGCTCACTATGACTCGAATTCCTTCTGGAGGTTGTGCTATAAGTGCATTCAACTCCTTTGAGATCCTCTTTATTACAGAAGGCGAGATGTTTTCAATGGCTGACTAATTTATTAATAAATAATAATCCACGACGTTCAATATTTGGTTCCCAAATAACAAAGTCAAAGTTACCGCGGCAAAGTTGACAAAACAATATAAATCGCGTCAGTAAAATATCAATTTTGTTATCATGAAAAGTTAGGAAAGCAAAAAACTTTACCATGTTATTGTGCAAAATATTTTTTTTTTTTTTTTTTTTGATTTTTTTTTTGATTTTTTTGATTTTTTTTTTTTTTTGATTTAAAAATTTTTATTTATTACTTTTATTTACTATATAACGGATAATAATTGTTTTTTTTTTCACGAGACCAGTCTAGCTCAAAATAAGTTAAACACGTACAGTTTACACAGTTTTCAAAAGAGGATTACAAACGCTTTTTTTTACAGGTTTTATTTATTTATTTTTGAACTTTAACTTTATTTTTGTCTTATGAATACAAGTTGTAATTATCGTTCGGCTGACATTATGAAACCGATGAAACCCGAATATATTCGATAATCATAATAAAAAAAAAAAAATCAAAAATCGGAAAAACTTATTATTCGAACCTCTTTTTTTCTTACACCCTTTAAATAGGTTTTATGAACGCGATTTAACAATAAAAAGGTCATTTATTCACGATTTAGCAGCATACTTTGAGTCAGTCAACTTTCCATTTAAAAGTGGAATTAGAAAAATTTTCAAGTTAAGCAAGAGATTTACATTATTTTTTCATAAAGTTTATTTATTGTCCTTTCAAAAATAAATATATATATTACTTAGCAAAGTCAATTAAATTACGATATAGGTCGAGCGAACTATTATGATATTTCACAACTTTTTTCCCAAATTAACATGTACAGATTTAACTTGAGTATATTGTTCAATAGCGAATTTTCCTAACGAGAATTCCAAGAGAAAAGGTTAGATATGCCTGAACTTTACGGAGTAAAATATAATTATTTATTTACCTCCTTCACGGCCTATTCCCGATTCTTTATATCCTCCGAACGAACTGTTTAAGTAAAATACACGTGATTAGCGTGACAGACGCGCTTTTAGACAAATTTTTTTTACACGAATCAATAAAAGAAATGGCTTACGTGTAAGGGTTATATATATTGTAACAATTCACTATGTGATGGAAATTTAGATTATTTTTTTACAACAAAAGAAAGATTGAATTACATCTTTTAAACAAAAAGGAGTTTGACATACCCCAAACAGTTCCAGTATGTAACTCATTAGATATCTGCATAGCACGTGTAAGATCTTGAGTAAAGACTGCAGCAGCTAAACCATATCTAGATGAATTGGCTTTCTCAACAACTTCTTCAACGGTAGAAAATTTCGCTATTGCTGCCACAGGACCAAAAATTTCATCTTGCATGATAGTCATCTTCTCATTCTATCAATCGAAATTGAAAATTTCAATACAAGAGAAACATGGCGAAAGACGGCGAAAGTTAAAAAATTTATTTACCACTTCTGTGAAGATGGTTGGTTTGATAAAGTATCCTTCTTTACCGTATCTTTCACCGCCCATCAACAATGTTGCACCTTCTTTTTTTCCAATTTCAACATAAGACATAATTCTATGAAAAGATCAAAATATTACGTTAATTTTTTTTTATTATTATTTTAGGAAAAAATTACTCCTTTTTTTTTCGATTTCCTACCTATCAAATTGAATTTGAGAAATCTGGGGACCCTGATGAGTATCTTCTTTAAAAGGATCACCAAGGTTCATATGTTCAGAAAGAACTTTAAATTTTTCTAAAAATTTATCATAAATGGAATCTTGTACATAAATGCGTGAACCCGCGCCACAACATTGACCATGATTATAAAAAATTCCCATATGTGACCATTTAACTGCCTCTTCAAGATTAGCATCTTCAAAAACAATGTTTGGAGACTTTCCTCCCAATTCTAACGTGACACTCTTTAAATTGGAATCTGCGGCGCTTTTTAAAATCTGTCTACCGACCACGGTAGAACCTACATAACATTACGTGGTAAATACATTTTAACGCATGAAAAGGAAAAAAAAAAAAAAAATCGATTCGATTGTATCCATACCGGTAAAAGCAATTTTATGAATTTTCATGTGAGATGCTATAGCGGCACCAGCCGTTTTACCGTATCCCGGCACGATGTTTACAACGCCTTTTGGAAATCCAGCTTCTTTAATTAAAGCAGCAACTTTTAAAGCACTCAATGGAGTATTTTCAGAAGGTTTTAATACGATCGTATTTCCACATGCTAGAGCCGGAGCCAATTTCCAAGATTGCATAGCGACAGGGAAATTCCATGGAATAATAGCACCGCAGACTCCAAAAGGTTCGCGACGCGTGTAGCTAAATTTATCTGGATCATTGTCCATTGTCTTGTATCAAAAACAAATGAAGATTTTATAAATATTCACAAGGGAAAATCACTTTATATCTTTCACCAAGACATTTATTAATGGTACCTTGCCATGAATTTTATCAGCAAAACCAGCAAAGTATCTGTAGGCTTCGATGGCAGTTGGAACATCATTAGCTTTAGCGACGGAAAAAGCCTTACCATTGTCGAGAGACTCAATAGCAGCGATCTCTTCAAGGTCACGTTCCATCAAATCGGCCAATTTATAAAGCAAGCGACCACGTTCTGATGCTTGAACATTTTTCCAAACTTTATTAAAGGCTTCAGTAGCAGCATCAACTGCCTTATCAACATCGTTTGCAAACGCTTCTGCAACGGTTGTGATTGGTTTCCCTGTTGAAGGATTAATCACATCAAACCGTTTTCCATCGATTCCATCGACGAATTCATTATTTATGAATAGACCTGTGTAGACTGTATATTTATATTTTCGCACGTTAAAAGATGATATTCACTAAAAGGAGGAAAAAAAATTAATTGGATGAATATATTTACTTTGGCTAGACTTCCCAGTTGGCAAAGTAATTGATAGTTCGTTAGAAGGCATTATATTGAGAGGATTTTTTTTTTTTTTTGAGGAGTTTTCGGTATTTATATTTCTAACTTCTCACCCAGTCCATTTAGGTTTGTAGTAAACCATTCCGACAATCTTAATTTAAATAATTGCCCGAAAGAGAAAAGGAATGTATTAATAAATCATTGTTTTTGACGACAAATTTATCTTAGATTCGGGATTAGGTTATAAATCAGGGATCGTTTAAAGCGCACGTCACGTGCGTGAAGGTTCAAATGGGGTCTGGGTCTACAAAAATTGAAATTGGAATAATTGTCACGTGGGGAGGATTTGTATAGAAAGGAAAAAGGGGATACTAAAGAATGCACCTTTGTTTAAGGTTAGCAACAAGGAAATTTAAATGATTTCATGATTTATTTATTTATTTATTTATTATTGGTTTTTACACAAACGAAAATGGTTGGTTGGTTTGTTGATGAATAACAACCAAACAAGTGTTTGATCAAGAAAAGTGTATTGGCTTATCATTTTACTAATAATCATTCAAGGATTAATGTAGAATAGATAAACATTGAAACACTTTTCACCGGGAATGACCGAAAAGAATATGGATTTCCCTCCCAATAGCCACGTGTAAAAGGTAATTAAAATTATTTAATAATTTTTTTTTTAATGTAACCCTCCAATAAAAAAAAATACATACATTTCATCACATTACGCATATTACATGTTTTATTAAAACGATAAAATGTGGGGTAACCTAGAGTTTTTTCGTTAACATTGAAACTTTCCGCAGCACCCGCATAAAAGGGTTATTCTTTTTACATTCACATCAAGTGTATATTTTTGTGGTGGACTTGGTGGTCTGTTTGACGCAATGAAACACAGAACATTTTATTTTAGTTCCGTCGTTCATTTAATACTTAAATATTTTGAAAATTTTTTAATCGAAAAAGACGTTCACATAATAATTGATTTGTTTGTTAAAAACCGAGGATTTGGGTATCTTTAAATGATTTCGCTTTTTTTTTATTTATCAGATTATGCAACCTTAAAATCATTAAATCCCTTTTTTTTAACCTTTTTTTTTCTTTTCTAATTTTTTCTGATCAAATATCAATATCGTTCATTAAAAAGAGAAAAGGTCAATTTGAAAATCCAATTGAAACATTTTTCATTATCATTATCATTTTATTGGGGTAATTGATATTGAATTAGGGCGCAGCTTATATCATCTTGGTAATCATTGGTAAATAAAAAATTAGTAATAATGAGATTGTCACGCGACACATGACTTAAAGGTCCGATTGTGAATTCCCATTTTTAAGTTGTACAACGGAAAGATGTAGGTCAAATGTTAAAATTAAAAAATTTCATTTTGCTTTTTTTAGAATACTTTGGTAACTGAAAAGGGAAAGTAACGGCTTTATTGTTGTTCTCCTGCATCATCCAACATGGTATTAACCGGCTTAGCCCCCATTGCTGTTATCCTTTTAATTTATGAAAATATATATATATATATATGTAATGTGGATTTATTTATTTTACTTTATCTTTTATCAGTAATGTGTTGAAGATCGCCAACTCTTTTTTTTTTTTTTTTTTTGTTCTTTTTTTTTTTTGATTGTTTTACAACATATCATTAACATTAAAACAAAAAAAAAAAAAAACGCCTCCTTTGTATGACTTTAGTTAAAATGAGTAACATACTCACACCCCCTTATTTATTTTTATTGTATCGCATTTATTTTTTTTTTTTTTTTTTTTTTTTTTTTGCCCTCAATCTCAAACACATATAATAACACCACTTCAACTTCCCTTCTCCAAATTTCAAATACAGTACTTGTATTTTTCCTCCCCAAAAAAAAAAAAAAAAAAATTTAAAAATTTTAAATAAAAATACAGTACAAGTTAAAAAAAAAAATCCACCCACACTTTTTTTTTTTTAAATAATAATAAAAAAACTGAACTAAACAACAAAAATACTGTGCATCGTATTTAGTTCTGGTTAGTTATTCGGTAAATATAAGTGAAATAAAAAAAGTGAGTCACAAGTTTTTTTTTTATTTTACTAATAAAATATTTACTTTATATATATGTATTTTTTTTTTTTTTTTTTTTTTTTAAAAAAAAAAAATAAACTACAACACATAGTTCAAGTTTTAAAAAATTTTTTTTATTAACGGTACTCCAAAGGAAAAGAAACAAAAAAAAATATTATTAATATTAAAAAATAATAATAATAATAATAAAAAAATTTTTTCCACACAATATAGACTTAAAGTACTTACCTATCAAGTGTTATCATATCAAAAACATCAAACCAACAAAAAAAAAAAACAAAGCGAAAGAAGGAAAGGAAAAGCCGTGCACTTCATAACGATATATACCCTTTTTTTTTTACGACTTTTTTAAAAAAACAACGCCACTATAATATTCCTACGTATTATTATATATATAAAAAAAATATTTTATATATATATATATAAAAAACCACAAAAATATACGAAATGTACAATCGTCCATATAATAATACACCACATCAGTCACCTAATGCACAGCGGAATACTTATCCATATGGTCAAGCTTTTCAACCAGCATCACAGCAAGCTCAACCGCCTTCCGCCATGATTCAACAGAATGCTCTTCCTTCACATAATAGTTCCCAATTCGGTACGCTAAATAGTTATAACAGAATTAGCGGTGGCGACTTTCGTCACGGTGCTCACCTATCCACACACCAACCTCATTTCTCTTGGCCAAATCCCAAAAGTAATAATTGGGGAATATCCGAACTAAGTGGTGCTTCAGGGAATAACTCTTTGGCGAGCAGTTTATATCCGAATAATATCGCAAATAGTAATACTGGTAGCTTTCAACCTACGAACTCCGGTATATTTGATGCTACGGCTCAACCTCAACAGGCTCAGCAAACGCATCAAACTCAGACAAATCCACAACGAAGGATGCAAGGATCCGCTGCTATACAACCGCATAATAATACTTTACGTTTAGGCGCCGATGCAACTTATCAGGGTCATCAATCGTCAATCGGTACGTCTGATTCATTTTTATTTAATTTCTGTTGATGTCTTTCCACGTGATCATCTTGATCTGTATTCTTACGTGTTATACCTTCCTTCGTTCAAATAGCTGCAGGACATACACAACAGCCATCAATGCCGACCTCATTATCACAATTTCATACATCTCCTACGCCATCGGCGCAAACTCAACCCCACGCAGCTCAGCAACAACATAGCATGCTTGCTCTGCCAACTCCGAATTCTTTAAATTCATCAAATGTAAATTCCGTGATTAATGGTAGAAATCAATGGATGGATACAAGTAACATGAGTAATTTTGCAATGCCAGCAATTAATATGAGTACGTTGAGTTTCCCCACAAGGAATACTCAAATGACTGTTAATGATACTGCAAGTTTGAGCGGTCAATTTGGGGTGGACGTCGACCCTTCCACGGGTGATTTAGATGAAAGTAGTATCATGGATCCTCCCATGGTGGCCAATTCTTCTTTAACTTCCTCTGCTACCCCGTCACAATCTTCCATATCTCCAAATACCAATCAACCAACTTACATGAATCGTTTTTCTCAGCAACCACAACAACAAGCTCAAACCCAGCAACACCTAACACAAGTTGCTCGTCACCAATCCCAACAGCAGCAACAAGTGCGCCGTTATGCCACTTCAACCACCTCCCCAAATACTTCCATTAGTAGCATAACGGATTCCACGGGTTCCCCGTCAATGAATAGTTCGATATCCAAACGTCCGACCGATACAAATGCCGTGTTTGGGTCGAGCATATCGGGAATGCCGAGTCAAAGATCAATGTACAGTAATAGTAACGGGTTGGGTAGTTATGTTACGAATCAGCACGGACGACAACAGCAGCCGTACGCTGCAAATCAGCAACAAAATCTGAGATCACCTTATACTGCTCATAATGAGAGTTACATTTCTCCCTATCCCTCTCAACAAAGTAACGTTTCTGCAAATCAACAAGTTCAACAACAACAACATTTGCAACAGCAACATAATAATGTCCAACAACAGCAGCAACAACAAATTCAACATCAACAGCAGCAATTACAGAATCAATCACATCAACAAGCATCCCGTAGCAGTCCGTATCAAACCTATAACCAATCTCCTCACCTCGCCGCGAATCAAATGAATCAAAGATCCGCCATCAATCAAAACACTGTTGCTCAGAATGTGAATGTTAAATCCTCTCCAAGGTTAACCAAATCTGTGACACAGAAACCGACAATACAAACAGGTGTTCCCGTTCAAGTTATATCGCAATCTCAACAATCTCAGCAATCTCTACAACAGCAACAACAACAGCAACAACAATTGCATCAGCAACAATCTCAACAACAGTTGCACCACCCATCACAACTCCAACATCAATCGCAGCAGCAAAAGCAACAGTTGCAACATCCTACTCCTTTACATCATCCACAGCAACAGTCTCAACAACAGCAGCAACAACAGTTGCAGCAAATGCAGCAGCAATCAGCTTTGCAGCATCATCATCAACAGCAACAGGCATCTCAACAGCCTTCTGAACAATCGATACAGCAATTGCAACAGATGCAACAAAAACAACAACAACAACATCATCACCAAGCTCCTCCTAATAAGATTACACGAAGTTTGGTTGGTGCACAAACTCAACAGCATCCACATCACCAGCAACGTCAACAACATCAGCAACATCAGCAACATCAGCAACATCAGCAACATCAACATCATCAACAACAACAACAACAACAACAACATCAACAACAGCAGCAGCAGCAACAACAACAACAGCAGCAACAACAACAACAACAGCAGCAGCAGCAACAACAACAGCAGCAACAGCAGCAAAGTTCAAATGTCTCATTTTCCCAACAAAATCAAGTGACCATGATGTCAACTTCGAAGCAAAAGCCTTCACCAATGGTTGCACATACGCCGTTGCAAAAGAATAATTCGATACCACAACCGCTACCACAACAGCAACTACAACAGCAACTTCCGCAACAGCAACTACCACAACAGCAACTACCACAGCAACTATCACAGCAACAATTACCGCCACAACAACCACCCCAACAGCAACCTCCTCCTCAACCGCAACCACAGTCGCAACCTCCACAAGCTCCTCAAGAACTGAAGAGCGCTACCTCTACTGTTGCATCTTCCGTTTTACCACCACAAAAGGATCATAAACCGAAACGGCCCATGAATGCATTCATAATCTTTTCAAGTGAACGTCGACCTGAATTACAAAAGAATGATCCGAATATGCAAACCTCTCAAGTTAGCAAAATTTTGGGGGAGGAATGGCAAAAGATGGATAACGTATGCATCAGAAATTAAATCGAGTGAAATAGATATATTGTTATACTTTCTCATCCTTTACTAATTAATTTGAATCCTTTAAAATTTGCTAATTATAGTCACGAAAAGAACATTATAATGAAAGGGCGAGAGTCCTCAAGGAGGAGTTTAAACAGTCGAATCCTGGGTTTGTTTATACTCGTCGGGGAACATCAACTACTACAAAGAAGAAGGCTTCAACATCCTCGACTACACCTTCCGCCGTCGTTGCCTCTGTTACCCCGACCGCGACGACCGTGACCACCCCCAACACAACGAACGCCCCCACTTCTACCTCCACTACTACAAAATCTCCTATCGCTCCTATAGCGGTACCACCTCAATCTACAAACGTTCCAATAGTAAGTATATTTATATTTTGTTCATTTCGAAAGTTTTCTTTTTATTGGTTTTTCGTGCATGTATTTATCTTATTTTTACTATTATAGTCCAATGGTCCAATCAATGGTAGTGTTCCCCCACATCATCCAAATAACGTTTATTCATCCCCTCATAGTAATGCAACGCCTACTTCAACAGCAACGAATACAAATGCTCAACGAAGTTCACTCAATAATAATATTAACAAGCAACAACAGGTTATTAGTTTACTATTCATAAATTATTGTCACGTTAATTCGTATATAATTTGTTTACATTCGTTTCATTTATCAAAAAATTTTAGCCACAACCACCAGCATTATCAAATCCACCAAGGTCGACAATGTCCACAATCCCTATCAGAAATCGTAAATTAAGGAGACCAATGAATGCCTTCTTGATCTTTAACAAAGAAATGCGCCCAAGAGTATTAGAAACGAATCCCAATATGTCTGTGGCTGAAATTTCAAAAACAATTGGTGAAAGTTGGCGTGGAATGTCTGATGTAAGTCATCAAAATTTTTTCTTTACCAGTCATGCCATCTTTTAGCGATAGATAATTTATCGTAATTTGTATAATTTGTAGGAACAAAGGGAGGTTTATCTTCAGAAAGCTCGAAATTTGAAGAATGAATTTCATGAATCAAATCCAGACTTTGTGTATACACGCCGATCAAAAGCTGAACTTGCGGCAGCAGGTCATCATAGTTATTCCAAGAAACGTAATTTTGGACAAGCTGAAAGCGAAGATGAAGATGAAGGAGGAGATCATCCACCACGTGTTCCACACGGAAATCATCACGAGGGTCCAGTAACGGGCGCTCCGCCCAAAGACCCCCGAGGACGTAAAAAGAAACGAAGCCGACATCCAACTGCGCCAAAGCATCCAATGTCGGGATTTTTATTCTATGCATTAGAGATGAGACCACATGTTGCAGAACAAAATCCTGGAAGTACGGTTGGTCCCATAAGTAAAATTATTGCAAGTCATTGGAAGGCTTTAACTCCCGAATCGAGAGCACCATGGGAGAAAAAGGCTACCGATGACAAAGCAAGATATGCTAGGGAGATGGAAGCATATTTACAAGCACAAAAAGATGAGGAATGAAGTCTTAATAAACCGCGAGATTTTTATTAGATTGATTAGGCGAAGCATTCCCCAAAAAACATTGCATTTTAACGTATTTTTCTTGTTTTTTTTTCATTATTTCAATTTCTTTCGGTGGTTTTGTTTGTTTGTTTTTGTTTTTTTTTTTTTTTTTTTTTGACGAAATAACTTCGTCAATACTGTATGTATATTTTGGTATATAGTTTTTTTTTTCCCTTAGTTGACAATTTCATTTGCATACAAACAAATAAACAAAGTTGTAAATTTTTTCTTTTTTCCCTGTTTTATTTGTTTGTAAATTAATAGAGATAAAAAAAAAAAAAATTCAAATATTTATTTTCAGAGTATAGGATAATAGTAAATAGTTTTAAGTGAATTATTTCCAAAAAAAAGAAAAAAAAAAAAAAAATTGTGTATATATATGTATATATACATAGTATAATATAAAAAAGTTTTCAAAATTAAAAAATATCGAAAAAAAAAAAAAATTCAAATTCAAATTTTCAGAATTCGAGAGGTTCTAAAATCTAAAATTAGTAAAAAATACTTCTTGTTCTATGAATACCAATTTTAATTGTATGTTTATGTTCATTAGCAAAATCCCATATATAAAAATCCAAAATAATAGTATTAACTATTGGAATTAACTCTCGATTATTTTCCTGTTGAATTTTCCGTTGAATAATTCTTTTTAATAATTCTACCGACCATATTGAACATCCTATATATATATATATATAAAGAACAATTGACTTTGTGATTACACCAAAAAAGAGGATGATTAACATTAAGAAATTTAAATTACCTCTAATCTCGATTTCTAATTGTGAACCATTTGGTAATAATGTGAATGAGTTTATCATGTTGAGTAAATGTTGAGAATATGACAATGCACCTAAATGATGAAGTGCCTAAAATAAAAAAAAACCTGTATAAATAAATGTAAAATCCCATGTTTTAAAATAAGGAAACTTAAATTGATTTACCTGTGGAACCCTGTGGGATTTATATAAATTAAATATGTAATAAGTCTAAATTAGTATATTATTAAGATTAATATAAATTATATATATATAACATACCTATAATCTGCAAACATTGTTATTTCATCAATGTCATTAAAAGAACCATAACCTTGTCCTTCAAAACAAGCCCTAAAAAATTACATCGTAATAATAATGTATAAATATTTTATATTCGATAATTTAAAATAAATTAAAATAACATTACAATTACAATTACAATTATTTATATATATTTATATATACCAAGTATCAGCTATTAATATTTGAGCTCGTTTATAAAGTTGGACTAAAAAAAAAAAAAAATTTAAATTTATGTGAATTTTTTTAATAATGAGAATTTACTTGCCTACCTTTACGTCCAAGAAATTCACATTCGTCACGAAAACATTCAAAATTATCGGTAATTATTTTTAGCAATTTCATGGCAGAATTATTTGATTGTTTAATACAATTAATAAAACTACCGTCGAATTTCTTTAACGTATTATATAAACAATCAGATAAAGAAATGAAAAAGGTTGAAGTTTCAAAAAAGAAATGAATATACCTCAACTAGAATTTTACCGGCTTCTCTCATACAATTAATACGTTCCTGAAGCAAAGGAATTTCTTCGCCTGTATGAGAACGAAAGGCATATTTAATTTTATCATCATTTAAATTTTCTGCTGAGGCATAAACTGATGGTGTTGTAATTGGTATCCCTTCATCAATGGCTTTAAATCACAAGTATTTAATAATTATCAGTAAATGAAATGTTTGTAAAGGTTTTTTTTTTTTTTTTTTAACTTTACTAAAATACCTCGATTAATTGCCGCGCATAAGGACCAATATCCCGTATATCGTTTATCTTTATAAAGGATGGTAAACCTTTCTTGACAATTCGATCCTTTATCTTTTTCTAAATCGGACCAAAAAGAAAAGTTTAATAGATCAGCGAGAAAGATCCTATAATATAAAACAAATCGATGAGATTAATTCAAGTGACTCGGAGATAATTCAAAAAAATCGAAAATTGTTGAGTATTTACCAGTTAATTGCATCTTCGTTTGCAATTTTTGGATGAAGTTCATGTTGTTTCCATACCGATACAGAATATTTCATTTTTTTTCATATTTGAATAAATCTAAAAAAGATATATTATACATATATAGATTCGATTAATTCAGTGAATTCAAATTGAATTATTCTTAAAAAATTTGTAAATTACCGCATTTGCTGCTTCTTGAATACTGTCTCGAGGAATGGTGACATCCTTTGCATTCTAAACTTAAAAAGCTTAGTTTATTATTATTTCGATTTTTTTTTTTTTAAAAAAAAAAAAAAATCTCACCTTACTAATGAAATACGCGCTTTCTAGTACAGGGTTCACGAAATGTTGGGATTCACTTTCGTTAATAATAGAGTCTATAGTATCGTTATCCATTATAATAAAAAAAAATTTTTTTTTTCGAGTTGATTGATGATCGGGGGGTGTGTGATATTTAAATTGAATATATATTATACAACACGACCAGGTTACAAACGGTAGATCTCTCAAATTTTAACGATTCTCGATTGAAAATTACGCTAGTACCAATTAAAAAACACTTACTAGATTTCTATAAGCCAAGTTTTTTTGGAGTACAAAGGTTCATGATTATGTAGTTGTTACATCAATAATGTATCCCTTAGTGGTTCAATCAGCTGCTGCCATTTGAATATCCATATGGAATTACCATTTAAATATAAAAATTTTGTCTTCTTAACGCGTCTCACTTTTCTTTCCTTATCAATTTTTGCATCTTTATACATTCCTTTTTTTTTTCCAAGTTTTTTTTTTTTTTTTTTTTTTTTTTTCTTTTTTTTTTTTTTAATTAATTTTTCTTTTTCTTTCTCTTTTTATTTCTTACTTTTTTTTCGCGATAATTATTTAACCTTATAAGAAAATTTTTTTTAAAAAAAAAAAAAAAGAGAGAATGGGTTGCACTACTTCTTATATTGCTGCTTCCTCTTCGAATGAACTTTCTTCATTTCCAAAAACTTCCTCTCAAACTCAAACCAGAAATTTACCTTCTCCTCCTACAGTTACCACCACCACCACCACCACCATTACTACCATTACTAACACAGCCTCCAGTTCTGCCTCGAATACGAATATACGATTTGGTAAATGCGTTTATTGTACTTGCCCATTTGTTTCTTATAAATGGTGTCGTAATTGTGCTTTCCCCGGTAGAGAGCAGTGGACTACAGGCAACAAGTTATTGGATGAATTTATTATTTATACGCAAGAAATATCACCAGATTATAAAACATATTTAGAATGGATACCATTTGAACAATTCATTGATATAAAAGAAATTGGCAAAGGAGGTTTTTCCACCGTATTTGAAGCTACTTGGACTGAAGGCCCAAAAAGAAAATTTGATCCTTTAAATAAACAGTGGTGTCGAATAGGAAATACCAAAGTTGCCCTTAAATTATTACACGATTCTCAGGAAATCACCGAAGATTTTTTAAATGATGTAAGCGATTCTCTTAATGACGCTTTTTTTTTTTTTTTTTAAAAAAAAAAAAACAAAATTTTTTTAACTTAAATTTTTTTTTTTTCCTAGATGAAAAAATATTATCAATGTAAAAATCGAGAAATTTTAGTTGGATATTTTGGAATTTCACAAGATCCAACCACAAAAGAGTACATTTTAGTAACACAATTTGCTAATAAATTAGACTTACGCACATTTATTCTTACAAAATATTATAATAATAATAATGATTTATTAACATGGAATGAAAAAATAAATATACTTAAATCTATAGCGGAAGTGATTAAATCTTTACATAATGAAAAATCCTTGCAAGGTGAAAAATTATTTCATGGTAATTTGCATCCGGGTAATCTATTAAAGAATACAAGTTCTGAATCGAAAAAACAAACCGAAGAATCAATTTTAATAGGAGATTTAGGATGCTGGATACCTTCTAATCTTTTAAAAAATTCTCAAAAATATTTACAGCCTCCTTCTTCTTCATCTTCCAACTATAACGATAATAATTTAATACATGGTGTTTTACCTTATATTGCTCCAGAAATTTTAAGAGGCGAGAAAAAATCACAAGCGAGTGATATTTATAATTTTGGTATGATCATGTGGGAATTGTCAACATTTTCTTTACCATATTTTGATAGAGCTCATAATTTGGAATTAGCTTTAGACATATGTGAAGGATCACGTCCTGATCCTTTACCCATAACTCCAGAATTTTATTTTGATTTAATGGAAAGATGTTGGGAGGATGATCCGTCATTAAGACCGAATGCGATTGAAATCATTCGTATTTTAGATATGAATCAATTATATTTAAAATATAGTGAACAAACCATGAAAGTTGTCGAACATCAAGAATGTTCTAAAAATAGATTATCGATGATTTCCGAAAGAATTACGAAAAAAGTTGCTAAAACGAATAGAAACGTTATTAAAGTTGGCGGTCTGAGAGGTGTTGTGAGAAAGAAATTACAATCAAGAAAGGAATCGTCATTAACGACAAATATTCATCCTGAAGCTTATTATACTAGTAGGGTATTGGATTTTTCCTTTAATAGATTATCCATTTCTTCTAATTCTAATAATTCATTTACGGCCGGTAATACTTCAAATTCTGATGATTTTGGTGAAGGTAAATTATTTTGTATCAAAAACGATTTCAAAAATAAAAAATAAAATATTTATTTATTATTTGTCTCTTGTCCCAACTATAGAAACAGGACAATCAAGTTTCGCCATCTCTGATACGGGTTTGGGTATGTTTTTATTATTCATTTCTATCTTTAATAATAAAAAATAATAAAATATCAATAATTTACCTCATTCTCAACTTATAGAAGATGTAATTGAAGATTTTATTATCCTTTCCAAAGATTCTAAGGGAAAGGAAAGGGCTTGGGCATAGTTAATTAATTAAATCATTATTATCATTCAAGAACATTTTACATTTCAATACATTATTTATAATCAAGATGTATATAACTGCATTTATTTAATTAAATTATTTATTTTTCAAGAGCCGATTACATTTTAATAATTAATAATGATTTTCACAGTACACCCTGTGAAAATCCTTTTGCAAAAAATTGAACATTATTATCTAATGCTTTATAATGTAATGTTGAAGGTCTAAACCATTTATCCTGATTTTTTGGTCCACGAGCCATCGTAATCTTGAATAAAGGAAAAAGGTTCTTTTTTATATTTCACGTCCTTGATAAAATTTTTAAAGAAAATTTTGATGTTTATCATAGCACCTACTTCGCCTGATACATCTCTTGAAAAACCGGATCCTAATCCACGAACTGATAATAAATATTCCGATTGATATATCAAAGACTTTAAAAAAATCTCTTGATCCAACTCATCATCAATTGAGGATGGTGATACATCCTCATCCGCGTGAATCAAAATTATTAATGACCCATTATACTAAAAAAAAAAAAGAGGAAAGAAGTGAAATGAAATAAACACTTATTTAAACTGATTACTGATATCGATTATCATTACCTTTTCGATCAACATACGACAAGCTTTAACGAATTCTAATATATCCCTCACATTAAATCCTACATATAACAAGATTGATAAATCATCAAAAATCAAACATACGCGTGTATCATCAATTGATGAATGACGAGCTACAATCGTTTGTTTAATCACTTTATAAAAGTTTTGTAATAATTCTTTTGAAATTGGCGAAGTTGACATTGAACTGGTTCTAGTTGAACAAGTTAACACGGCCGTTGGTTTCGTTATCGTTGTAGAAGTGGATTTTGAAAAACCATCTGTTTGTGAATATAATGAAGTTAATCCATCTATAAAAGAAAATGCGCCTTTTTGAGTGGCGAGAGTTAAATTTACTCCCTATTTTATATAAAGGACAATTATAAATATATTCCTAAATAAATAAATAACAAAAAGAAATGTTTTTTTTAAGAAAAAGACAAAAAAAAAAAAAAAAAGGAATAAATGACTTGTACCAATTTACGACCAATTGTTAAGTAGTGATTAAAAATTTGAGAAAGGCCAACTAGTACTACATGTTTATCGGATTTTACTTGATTAACTATGAAATGGTGAATGAGAAAATTTCCTGAAGCTGAAAGGGTATCCGTTATTAAGATCGATCTTTTACTCGGTAGAAGATTATCATCAGGAAACGAAAGTGATGCATCTAAACTCGCGTACCCCATCGAAAAAGTAGTGATTAAATTGTTTCATTTTTATGGCATATTTATATTTTTTTAAAAAAAATGATTACGTCACCGACGGGAAAATTTCAGATATATTTTTTGTATTATAAACTGGAAATTCTGGGAAAAAAAACTTGGTGTCCTTCTTAAATAAGAAAATGACCAATTGTCATGGAATTGATAGCGATGTATGTGTGACTGTGCAACAATGCATGCTTTGAATTTACTTATTGTTAAAAAAGGTCACCCCTCTTTTTTTTTTTCAAGCAGTCCCTTTTCTTCCATCCTCTTGCATCAAAGGGTATAAATAGACCTCTACTGATATAAAAAGGTTGAAAGTTTTGGAAACCCTATATAAGCTCCAAAACTCGAACTTTTTTTTTTTTTTATTTCGAATTTACTATTCGCGTTGAAGTCACTTTTTTAACCATTACATTAAAATACACTTTAGAGATTTTAAAGTATTATCATACACCCTATTTTATGTTTTATTTTTCATATAACTAGAGCAATGATGTCTAACTCTATTGTGGTATGTCTTACCTTATTTCACCTTGAAACCATTTAAACACTTGAAATTTGGCTCTCGTACAAGTCGCGTAACTTTTTTTTTTCAAGTTAAAAGAAATTATGTGGTCTCGCGTTAATATATTTAATCTATTGGTCTCTATAGCCTAATGTGTACAGTGGCGTAATAAAGGATGTCATTCAAAATGTGAAAAAAGACTTTGAAGATAATGGTGTCGATGAATCAGTTTTAATGGAACTAGAACGCGTTAGTATTATAGATCCTTTTCTATCATCTATCCCCTAATACATCCATTTGTTTTTATTAGATTAATTATCATTACCCATTTCGTTTAGATATGGGACAAAAAGATTAGAGGCGCAAAAGTTGCACTTTGGGAAGCAGGGACCAACGGGTTATCAAATGATGACATCAATCAAAACAGTGACGTTACAAATATTTCTCATCATCAGCATCCGCCGCCTCAATCTGATTCCAATCAAAAGGTAAATTCGTTGTTTAATGTATTTTGTATCCAAATTTGAACATTAAACCCAATTTCAATCTAGTATCAACCTGGTGACGTATCAGTCGCATCTCTTCCAAGCCGTGCGATTTCAAATACTCATTCCGATCCTAACAGTGTAGGCAGGCCTCCACATAATGTATGTTTTGAATTTTTTTTTTGATATTTTCTTGTTTATTCATTTTACTGTTATTCGTTAGTTATTCGTTAGTGAATCGTCAAATAAATTTATCACTAAAATAGCCTATCAAAAATGTTAATGTTAATACATCTCTGGTACATGTATCACTGGCTCCTCCATCATCTGCTTCACCCGATATTTCGAACAGAAGCAGCTCAGCGATGCCTATAAACATTCAAACTGATGGTAATTATAATGTCATTCGCTAATTATCACGTGTGATCCTTATACTAATATTAGTAGCAAACGCGTCATCAAATAAAGCTTTAGATCAAAAGTTTATGTTCTCTCAGGGCCCACATTCGAAGGGTTTACAGGTATGTGAAATGTTTATTAAGTTGATGACATTTAATTCATCAGAATTTTATTAGAATCATCTTCTATACGTAATTCCATTCCATTCACATACAAAGGAAAATCAAAATCTCGATAAGCTCATTCCTCGTAACGTTAATAATAACATTATAAGTCATCCGACTCCACAACACCTCCCCGAGTTCAGTCGACCATATGCGGAAAGTGATGATATTAATTCTGATCTTGATGATTCAGATGAAGAAACCAATGCCGAGGGTGAAGAAACACAAAATATTATTTTATGTTTATATGACAAGGTAAAAATAAATAAAAGTATCAATATGATATTGAGACGATGTCGTCGCGATGTAACGAATATTAAAAAGAACATGTCGGCAAAGATGGGTAGAAGATCCCATGATTATGTTACGTTTATTCATTATAAAAATCTTTCAATATCGCAACATCTTTTTTTAGGTTACTCGTACAAAGAATAAATGGAAGTGCCAATTGAAAGATGGTATCATGTCAGTGAATGGACGTGATTACCTCTTCCAGAAAGGCAATGGTGATTTTGAGTTTTAAGAGAGAGAAAATATATTGGCAAGGACGAAATCATTAGGAACTATTTTATATTATATTCCTATTCGATTTATTAGTAGGTATATTTAATCTATCTGCCTTTGATAAACTATCTCTGAGTGAATTGTTCAATAAACCAAGAATCTGGAATAACTTTGCGTTAGGTAACTATTACAAATAAGTCATGTATGTGTTGGTGTTATCGGACTTATATTTCCTCTTTTTTTTGTTTGTTTTATCGTTAATTAAAAAAAAAAAAAAGAATATGTAATATGTGCGTATTAAATATATATATATATATATATATATTAAAAAAAAAATGGAGGCTTTTCTTTTGTTACGTTTGCTCCTTAATCTTTTTTTTTATATGTATAATTCTTTATTCTTAATATAAAGTTGGTTCAATATTCTTTTTTTTTGCGTGTGATTAATAAATTATGACCTTAATAAAAGGAGAGTATAAAATGAAAGAAAGGAAAAGATAAGATAACCTTCAAGCAATAATTAATTATGTATTATTGTTTTATTGTTGAATAAAAGAAAAGAAAACTATTGCGGCAAATAATTTTCGGTTCATTAATTTAAATTATTTTTATAGAAAATAGGAGTAACACAAACTATATTAACAAATAAACCCTGTATTTTGATTAATGAATGTTATGGGAACCTGAAAATATAAATGCAATGTAATAATATTATTTAATAATTTATTTTATCAAAAGAATCTAAAATAACTTGATATTTAACAAGTTTGTAAAAGGAATCTATGATCACAATCCCAAATATGCATAACTCTTCATTTAATTTACAAATCTAAGGTTTTTAGCAATTGTTTTCTTTAGTATAATTACTTTCTATACTCAAATTATAATAATTGTCTTTAAATAACTCATTCAATCATAATATCAAATGGTTTTATAAATGTAATTAAAGTTTTAAAAAAATAATTACTAAAATAAAATTCTTTTTATAAATTTTTTTTTTTTAAAGAATTCTTGAAATTTTAAAATCAAATTTAAATTTAAATCAAAAAAATAACCTATTTTTTAAATTAAATTTTCAAATATTTAATTTGAAATCATAATTAGTAAAAGTTGGTTTAATTACTAGTTAATCACTTTTTATATTTTGCAAAGATTCTTACTATTTAATAATTTGATATAATATCTATTATAAATTTAACAGTAAAACCTAAATTTTGATCTTATATATGTATTAAACTTAATATATTTAAATAAAATTAATATTATTAATAAAATATTAATCAGTTTTATATAAATATTATTATACACTTGTACAGTAGCGGTCATAAGTATCCGACCGCCCAAGATCGTCTAAAATTATTATATAACTACCCCTTAAATTTTCCAGAAATATAATTTAACACAATACATGATCACCTGTAAATTT